ATTTATTCCGTTTGTTAATTTATTATTACAATTTGTACTTGCTAACATGTTCGTCCTTTTGCACACGCACAGTTCAGAGGAACATTGGTGTCAACTACAATCATTTATTTGGTTTTCTCTCAATTTGGAGCGAGTTTTATAGTTGATATTGCGTTCGTACGCGAATTTTATTTAATTTATATATATTTTATCTACGTTATATCCATTTTTATCTTGTCTTCACATTGAAAATGACCCAACAGGAATCGAAACATTTGTTCTTGTTCACTTACTGATTGTTAAATTATATTTCACGTTTTTTTTTAATTTCATGACATTGTTTATTTTATTTTTTAACCATTTAATGTAGATTGTTATTTTGTTGTTTGATTTTTAGGCTCGTAGCCCTTTATTCTTTCATTTATTTAAATTCTATTAAACATGCTTAAGTTGAGTTTTTAAATAAATAATATAATGGAGTCAACAAAATAAAAAGTAATAAATAATGTGTCATTGACGTTAAAAGAATAAAAATTGATTATTGTCATTATAAAATTAAAAATGTAAAATAAATAAGGACCACCGCAAACAAAAATTGCCTTACGTCCGCTATGTTCTTTTCTATGTATTATTTATGTCTTACGGATAATTATATATGTAAAGTAACGTAAGGCTCTGACATAAAATGGTATAAGACGCTACGACGGTGTTCGTGCTATAAATTTTTATTTAGAAAGCTACTTAGATGTAATATAAGTGTAAGGCCATAAAGAAATACATTAATGATATATTTTCGATGGTTTAACAGAATGATTGTAACTGATTCATTCCATTACAGATCATCAAAGAAATATCATTAAATTCTTATTCTATAAAAAATTTTACATAATTCATACAAAAATTTATTTGTAATTTGGCATTAGTTATAATCATTTATACAATGATGACTTTCTTTATATATTTAATACAATTCTTAATACACTTGTATTACATCTAAATAGATGGAAATCATAAAATCTTAATCTTTGAACAATATGGAAGAGAGAATGAGATCCGAATGACATATTAAAATGACCAGTTATTTATTTGGTATTTTTTATTTTATCATAATGCAGATGTTCAATTTTTATATTGACATGCTATTTTTTACTTTTTTATTATTGCATAGCTCCATTGTATTGTTTATTTAAGCTTGATTTATAATATGCTTAATATAGGATTTATCACCTAATTCAGATTTGACTTATGTATGATTAAAAAAAAAACTAACAATAAATGCAGTCGAAACTAGTCTCGCTTTAATTAAATGTAAATTGACCTATTAAATTAGCACATATTAATTCAACACCAAATATTCGCTTATCTTTGGTTGAATTTATTACTTTATTAGATAGATATATAACAAATAATTGAAGAAAGATAATAAAGGAGATATATAAATAAATACTTATAGAGAAAAGAAAGGGCATTGAAGAAACAAATGAAAAGAATTACGAAAGGAAGAATGAAAGAATAAAGCTAGCACAAAAATAAGAATATCAACAAAGTATAGAGAATGTAAAATAAAGAGAAGAGTTCAATAAAGCGGTAGCAAAAGTAAGGTTTTCATACAGCACACTTTATCTCAGAGATCTGAAAACGTTTTTAGAACGTTGGGGCGTTCTCAGGACGTCCTGTAAAACGTCTCTCGGAGATTTGTGCTATGTGGGATATAATTAAATAAAAAAGAAAATGTTTGAAAAAGGAAAAAAGAAACAGAAGAGAGAAAGAAGAAAAGGAGAATTGAGGGGCAACAAAGGAAAGAGTCAGAAGGAAGAAAGAAGTATGTATCACATATATATATATATATATATATATATATACAGGGTGTCCAGTAAAGATCATAACGACATTTAAGGATAGAAGGATAGAAGGATAAGGATTCTTGACATTATTTTGAGATGAAAATTTTGTACCAATATGTCAAAACTATAACAATTTTTGAAGTATAAGCACTTAAAGTTAGCCTATCATGTCGACTAAGTTTATCAAGTATGGTTGGGATTTTGCGTGCGAATTTTAGGTGGTATGATTCACTAATTTTAATTTTTCATTGTTATACAATACTTGGTCAAAATAACTCAGAATCCAGGCTGTAATAATTTGAAGGTGCAACTCATAATCAAACTTTATGCGCCATCTGTAGAAAATTTGAAGATACCTCTCGGTTTAATAAAAGAAAAAAAATATTTATTTATTAATAAGACAGGTATAAAAATATAAAATATGAAATTGGGTCAAAATTTTATTTAAGAAATATAACAAAGTGTTAAAATGCAAATTGCTAACAAAATATAGAAATCAAAGCAAAGTAAAAACTAAACGTAAATTGCAATACTATCATATTTCAATAAAAATTAAAAAGATAATATGAAAGAAAAATGGAATGAAGGAAAATGCGAAAGATGATATAAAGTGGTACATACAAGAAATGCGATAGCTTCGAGTTTGCCAATTAGAATCGCTTGAAGAGAAAACTTTCGTACGTAATCGCGTTTTTTTTGTCAGTGGTGCACTTCAGTCGACAGTTGAGCCCCTCCATGGCGTTGCGACACGCTGCGCTGTCTACATCGACACTTTTCTACAGGCCACACAGGCGAGTTTCGAGGCCAGTTGCGTGACAATACCATTTTCCCTGTTAGAATCTTGCTTCTCATGCCAGCCGTAGCTTTTCCTATCAGGCTGTCTCGATTATTATTAGGGTTGCTTTCAATTGAGGGATAATCTAAAGGTGCTGGACGATAGGCGGAGCCTGCAAAAGCCTATTCCGCGCATGTCCCATCTAGTATAAGAGAATTTCCAGTATAATTTTAAATTTTCTTTTATCCTTTGAATTTTTTTAAAACTTCCATTAGAACATAAAATAAAGAGAAAATTATAGCATACTTCAGTTGAATATTGCAGTAAGAGAAAAATTATTGAAAAATTATAATAAATTATTAATTTTACAGCAAAAACAGTGATTTAAATTGTAAAAACAAAATATCAAAAAATATAAATTTAAAAAAAAAATTATTAACAAAAAAGCGGTTTCTTTAAAAAATTATTAACAGGAAAGTTTAAAAAACAATGTCTTATTTATACTATACATACAAAAATTATCCCAAACCCTCTCTTCTTTTCGTAATGACATTCCACGCGAAGCGAGGTTTATCCCATCCCTTCTCCTGTCTGGGGGCGTTTGACTTTCCACGCGAAGCGAGATCCACCCCGTAAGGACATTCGAATTTTCACACGAAGCGAGATCTGCCCCCTGCCAAGAGGAACTCAACTTTCCACGCAAAGCGAGATCCACCCCATCTCCCTCTCTGCTTAGTAGCGACCGACTTTCTCCTAAACAGGGCGAGAGGTGGAGCTGTGGACTTTGCTTCGCGTGGAAAGTCATACGCCCCATGACAGAAGGGTAGAAGTCGCTTCGCGTGGAAAGTTGTATTCCTTGTGAAGTGGGAGGTGAAATGGACTTCTCTTCGTGTAGATAATCATATATCTGTCAGTATATAGCAGAAGATATTTTTTAAACTTTATTTGTTAATAATTTTTGGACGAACAGTGACCTTCACCTGAAACCTTTTGAAGATTATGATCTTAACAATATGTCAAGATTAAGGTCATCGGCGATGCACATTAATTCAAATAATTATCCTTTTATTTGCGAGGAACAGTAACTATTCAGCGATAGTGCTTTGAACTATTCGTTAAATGATGAATGTAAATTAAATGTTATATTAATGTTAAGTAAATATTTTTAATATAAGTATTAATATTTTTAATATAATTAAATAAATGTTTTTCTAAAATTATTATAAATAATTATAATTGTAACATAAATATTAAGTCAATATTGAATAAATGTTAAATAAAAATATTTTTTCAAATCATTATTATAAATAAATAATAAATGTAATACGAATAAATTAGTATTATTGAACAAAAGTTAAATAAATTTTTTTCTAATTATTATTGTAAATGAACAATCCATGAATATGAATATTAAATTAATGTTGAATTAATGATAAATAAATGTTCTTCTAAATTATTATTCTTGAAAATTAATAACACAGGCGAATAACAAAATTTAATGTGTCATTCGACGATTAGTGACATTAAATTCGATTTCAGAGCATCAAAATGCATAAAAATACTGTGGTCTGTCTAATCGATCTCTTGATTTCAAAATCAAACATTAAATTTTTTTGTGTGCCTATATAATTAATATCTATAATATAAATGCTAAGTTAATGTCAACTAAATATTAAATAAATGGGAGATTACGATATGAAATAAATAATTAATGTAAAATGAATATCAAATTAATGTTGCGTAAATATTTAATAAATAATTTTTTATATTATTATAAAAAATTAATTATGAATGTAATAAATATTAAGTAAATAAATATTAAGTTAATGTTGATTAAATGTTTTTTTTTAATTATTATTATAAATGAATTATTAATGTAACATAAATGTTAAATTTAATATCAAATAAGTCATAATATTAACTTTTACACTTTGTCTTTTCTTATTAAAATCTTTAATTGCTTTTTGCTTTGTTATTTAGTCAATTGAAAAATTATATGCATGACAATCATTTTGACCAACTTTGCTTCTAATGTTTGGCGAACGAATTAATGACTTCGACTGTGTTTAACTATTGTAAGATTTACGTTAATAATTGGATTGGGATAATTATGCGTGATTGAACAAATATTGAATATTTTTATTAATATTGAATTTTATTTATGATTTATTTATGATTTAATTATATTGATCATACTTTTAATATAAAATTTTAACATTCTGAGCAAAAAGCGTCTTTCTCATGCAAAAGACTTACAGGATATTGAAATCCCGACAGAAGTTATTCAGTATGGACGTCTTCAAGTATAAGGAATATTCTCCTGAATCTTACATAATTTATTCTTTATTATAAAAATCCTGATATTCTGAAAAACCATTTCATGATGAATATTTTCATTACAGATCTACGATGCAACCATTTGCGGGTAACACAATGGCGACCGAGACACCAAGTCTGTCACCTGAGAGGGTAACTTCCCCAACGCCTTGCCGAAATCTTACATTTTCCATTGCAAAAATTATGGAACCGGACAAACGATTGACCGAGCAAAGCGCTAATCCGGTGCCTCCACCACCGCCAGCGATGCCAGCGACAACAACGACAACGATTCTTCAGCTGCCAAACATTTCTTCCCCATCATACTCGGCGCATTTGAAGTCGGCGTTTGAGAAGTATGTACCGACCTTGAGGCATCAAGATTTGCTCCAACATTATCCCGTATTATCTAAATATTATCCATTGTACTATCCGAATCCCTTGCTGAGGGCGTTCCCAGGCCCTCCCGCTTCGACCCCATCGATCACTCAGAATTCGCCACCTCCCACAACTATTCAAGAGGCTTCTTCGAGATTGAATCTAACCAACATATCACCAGAAAATCAGCGGGGCAAGAAGAGCCCAGCGCCGCGTAGTGACCTCGGTACTGCGAATAAGCAAAAGACTTTCACTTGTCCGGAATGCGGCAAGGTGTTCAATGCACATTATAATTTAACTAGACACATGCCAGTGCATACGGGCGCCCGACCATTTGTTTGCAAGATTTGTGGCAAAGGTTTCCGTCAAGCCAGCACTCTTTGCCGACATAAGATCATCCACACCGCTGAAAAGCCGCACAAGTGCGTGACATGCGGCAAAGCCTTCAATCGTAGTTCTACTCTCAATACCCATACACGTATACATGCCAATTTCAAACCGTTTGTCTGCGAGTTTTGCGGCAAGGGTTTTCACCAAAAGGGTAACTATAAGAACCACAAGCTCACACATAGCGGCGAGAAAGCGTACAAGTGCAACATATGCAATAAAGCGTTTCATCAAATCTATAATCTGACATTCCATATGCACACACACAATGACAAGAAACCGTTCTCCTGCAAGATCTGTGGCAAAGGCTTTTGTAGAAACTTTGACCTCAAGAAACACATGCGGAAACTGCATGACGCGAGTTCACCAGTGCTTAGCGGATTGGATGCCTCGGGCCAGAGTCATAATCAACAATCGAGCTTTTCGTCAGTATATCACGGCCCGGAACATTCTATCGTCAGTCCATTTATACTTCCTCCACCTGGATCCACCAGTTACCACTCTTTGAGTAAGATGTTGTGACAAAGCGAGAATATGCACTATTCCAGGAAAACTCAATATCCGCTCATTCTTGGCTCACCTTGTTATTCAAATGATATAGGTCAGTTGGCGCAAACATCTAAGTGAAGAGTTAAAAGAGAGCGCCTTGTTCAATTTCTTACTTGTTCAACTTCTTACTTGGGAAGAGTATTTTCCAACTTAGTTGTCCAACAAAATTAAGCGGAATAGACCGAGAAATGTTTAAACACAAATAAGAGAGAAGAAAACTATTTTCAATTAAATCGAATTTTGATGTTTAGTGGATATAATATTCATATGTAAATATACAAATACAATTATCTATATCAGTTCTATAAGGATAGTTGATTTAATAACAATATCACCATCATCTTAAAAATTTGTGAACATTTGTGTATATTGAAAAAACTATCATTTCAATCAGGATTCGGCTCCTGAATTCTATAAAGTGTCTTCCTAATTTGACTGCTAAGATATGTTAATCGCAATAATCAATATATGGCATATATGAAAGAACATCTTTTTCAAGCGACGTATAATAAATAATATTAAATGAATAATATTAAATGGTTATTGCGATTAATATTATCCCTCAGTGATTAAATTGAGTAATTGAGACTCTTGCACGGAATTCAACATCCGAGTTAAAATTTCGGCTGAAGTGATATTTTTTTTATAATAAGTTATATTTACATGTTTTTAAGATGCTACTAGCAATTGTTATTAAATTGACGATCAATTAATTTAATGTGAAGTTACTATTTTAGTTTGTGATTGTATTTCAAGTCTGAACCGAAACCGAATCGGCGCGTTTATAAAACTGATGATTGTTTTTGTACATTCATATACGGATATTACTAACCATTAACGTTTTCATTGGATTGCCATCAATTTGGCCCATGTAGTATTTTTTATTTAATATTTAGAATGTAGAATTACATAGAAAAGGATATGCTGAATGAATTATTCAAAGTTATGGTGAATCGTTATTTTTTAATAAAAATAAATTAGAAAATCTGTATTTATAAATCTGTATGTATAAATCAGAAATTCATCATAACTTTGAACAATTCATTCAGCACATAATTCCTTTTCTACGTGATTCTACATTCTAAATATTAAATAAAAACCACTACATGAGTCAAATTGGAGACGGTTCAATAAAAAGTGATAAGCAGTAAGACCCACTTTGACCGAAAATGGCTTCTTTCTCTCTTAAAATTAGTTACGAAAATAAGCTAAAAGGTGCATTCCCGACTTATCTTGCTGAAAATGTATAGAACATTAAAAAAGTAAAATTTGCAGATAAGGTTTTTAAATGTTACTGATGTTCAAATGCAACAAAAAGTAACATTAATTATTTGTTCTACAGATTCCAATAGCTGATTGCTCATCTTTATAATTAAAGTTGAATTAAAACAAAACAAATGACTCAAATGAATTTGTCATTTTATCTTCTTATTTTCTATAAGGTAATCGGATTCTACATGCCTCTATTAAACTTTGTGGTTTTTTTGCTGAATCCAATATTAAAAATTAATGTCACATTTGAAAGAGGAATATTTCTGAATATCTTAATAAAAAATATATATATATGTACTCAATATGACCTAAATATGTTTCTCTCATTTTCATAAAAGAATGTTAGAAAAATAAAATAATCCAATGTTACTTTTATAAGATTATATGTTTATTAACATACAAACATGTTTATTGACATATCATGATCTAGAATATCAAAAATCGTTACAATCGATATATGTATATACGCAGTATGTCTAAGTTGGCCATATTGGTTCTATCGTACAAAGAATTTCCTTTCTTTGATTATAGATAAAATGTTGTAACAAAAAATATATATTTTTGTCGCTGTTTATAATATTGTAGCTCTATATTTATACTTTGTAACACTATATCCTATTTAGTTTATGTGTTAAAGTATGAATATATAAAACTATAATAATATAAACTACTGAAATTAATAGTCATCTTTTGGTAGTTATTTACAGAATGCGATTACTTACCTATGTACGAAATATTACATCATGACTACAATATTCTACATTTTAGAATAATAATAAATTTATTAATAATAATAAAAATTGAGTAAGAAATTGATGCAATCGAATCAGACGGACAACTTGCGCAAACTACTACTGCTATCTATTGAATTAATTGTGTAATTATCTACAAACAATGAAGAGGGAGTATTGAGTACACATTTATATTGAGTCCGATTATCTTATATTATCAAAAGTTCAAGAAGAGAGAACACTCGTGATTTTCTTACAAAACATTGCTAAAAGAAGTCTTAAAGTCTTGAAAAAATTTATTGAGGTTGAGAAACCTCAGGAACCTTAGGAACAATTTTTTTCTGTTCTTTCCTTTTTCTTATAAATTCTTTAATATTATCCAAGTAGAACAAAAGCGTTGAGAAACTGTTGAAAAAACGTTTTTCTGTAACGTTGAGTAACAGTTATGAATATTCGTGTAGGAAACATTAAAAATAACGATTAATTAAAATCATTGCAATTGTATTAAAAAAACCACTACATTATTTTAAAACATTTTTTTACTCCCTCTTCCCCAGTAAAATATTTTTTATATATAATTAATCCAATTTTATTGCTAAAATAAATTTATTTATTTAGTATCACGCATTCCTCAATACACATAACAAAATAATAATTAAAAAAAGTTTATTTGGGGAAAGAAAGTCGACTTTATGACTGTTTCTCCAAACGGTTACCCATCCAAGCATAGTCCATATTCAAGCTTGACGTCTATGATCATACGGGAACTAAAGTAATCTTAAACGATTTTAAAACAAACAACTAATCGTTCCTAAATATTTTATAAACGTTGCTGTTTTACTTGAGTACAGTTAAAAAATATTTTCTAAAAATAACTTTTTACGTAAGATATTATTATGAAAAATTAACGCATCATTTTTTAAAAGTATATTTTATAAAGCTTACAAAGGAATCTTGCAAATTATCAAATCCTAATTTCAATAAAAATTTGCATATTTACAATTTATACTTATAGATATATAATAGATGAATTTAGAAAATATCTATAGCAGCAAACGATTTTGAGAGGTGAAATTCTACTTCTTACAGTAGGTAAAGCAATTGTCGTCATATCTCAAAAATTATTAAAGATATCAAAAACATATAATATAATAGTTTTATAATAAAATTTGTCTTCGTAATAACACAAAGAAATAATTTTTTTTAAATTTATATTTTTAAAATTATATTTAAAAAATATTAATGACGTACATAAATAAATGTAATTTTATTATGAAACTTTTTGTATTAAACAGTTTTTCATATCTAAAATGGATATTTTTTTTGTATTAAACGTTTTTGTATTAAATATTTTTTTATATTTCGAATAGATTTTGAAATATGACGGAAAAAGCTAAGAACTTTATATATAAGGGGGATTTCATCCCTCAAAAATCGTTTATTCTATTGATATTTTCTAAACTGATCTATTTACATATATAAACTATACATATACAAAGTTTCATTACAATCACAATTTAACACTTCGCGAGGTTTCCTAGTCAGGAAGCTTACTTTGAAATACTTTTTTGTTAATTTCTATCTGATTATGTTTTATCAAGTTACAGCACTTCAAAGTAAAAAAAAAAAAATACTGAAGACATATTATACCAATTTTTAATTTTATATAATTTACAAACAAAATATCGTCAAAATATGATATTAAAAACATTAATAAAATTTACTATCTGTCTCTTCATTAAAATGTATTTTTCAAAACTGCGATTTTTTTCATCAAGATACTTAACTTTTTATGAAATGCGAGAAAATCGCAAGTGTTCTCGAATAAATGAATAGTAATGTCGAGAATATGTCTTATATGTCTATAGTTACTTATATGTTGAAAAAAAAGTATTTCTAATTTTATATTTTTATAATAAAGTTATTTAAAAGTTAGTTTTTCAAATTTATATAAAAATATCGTAACAAAATTGATTTTGCATATTTTTATAACATCTCACTGTTAAGCAAATTTTTAATTGAATTTACATTAACATTTTATCAATTCATGATGTAAATAGAAGTATAATTGTCAAACTTCCGACTGGATTGAAAGTGTTATAACATTCTGGACGATACTTACTTATCGACCTGTAATTCTGTGAAATATTCACGAAGTGTATTGGATATTACAAATAATTCACAGCGTAAAATCAACTATATCACAAAGATAAATCAATAGGACACAAATATCCTATTAGTCTCTTCACGAATTGGGAAGGGTTTTCATGATCGATTATGAGCATTAATGGTTGCATCAATGGATTCCTGCGGGCTAATGTAAATATTTGTAAATATTTGTATGTGCAAAGCAAATACGTTACGCGTAACGGTGGAAGGGAATGAGAGTTATTAGTAAAGTGATCTGTAATTAGGGTTGTCTCAACACGGAGACCTGATAGAGAGTCATGAAAATATGATGGAATCGTTCAAAAGGCTTATTTAAAATTCGTCCAGATTTCACAGAATACTTACCTTTGAGTTTCGTTATGTATTAAATGTACTATTGCAAAAATAAAAATTTAGAATGAATACAGGATAATTATAAAGTCCCACCCTACCCTCTGGATATTACAACAAGTGTTAGATATAGAAAAAAACGGCAGAACATAGATTCAATTATTTTGATGCAGCTTTTTTAGGAAAAAAAAATGTCTTTAATCCTTTCAAAAAAGCAAGGCGAGAGATTAAAATTTTTTTATGAGAAAGAAGTCGAGCTGTGCACGTCGTTTTAAAGGTCTAGTTAAAAGAAAAATTATTGCGCAAACCATCATTGTGATGTTTTTTTAAATTACAAGGATTCGGATTTCAAAAATTTTTATGTTTCAAAATAACTTTCATTCTAAAGTATATTTGGCAAAATTATAGAAAAACAAAATTGATAGCAAAATGTTGCTCTTATTGTGTACTCTTAAGGGGATGCTGGAGCGATGGCCGAACTTGATTAATGTTGATAAAACATATTTTGAATTCTAAATAAAATATTACGCATATCAAGGAAACATTTCATACATTAAATAAAACATTAAGTAAAACGTTACGTACATTTCTTGTTCTACTATATTCTATATATCGCATGAATGCGAGATTATGTACACTCAAATCTTATGTATACTTTTTCTATCATTTCTTTTGTCAGCTACAAAATCATAATTTGAAGGTCTCATGATATTCTTATAAATTATTCAAATGTGGGAAAGTATTTTTTGTTTCGATATATACTTGTATACATTTTTATATATGTAAAAAAAATAACCTAACGTGATAATAGGAAATTGTAATTTACAATTTTTGAGAGATTTTCATACAAGTTTGTACTTTTCCAAAGCTATTTGCGTTTTTTCTTTTATTCTCGAGAAGAATTTTTTTATTCTGTGTAAAGAAAATTAAATAGTTGGAAAAATGGAATGAGCATTCCGTTAGTAACTGCAGCATTTCCTTAATGTCTTTTGCAAATGCTTCATTGCAAGTCTTCATTGACAATACATACAATTTTTATATAAAATGAATGTTGTTACGAGTCGACATCAGAATAACAAAACTGAAATATTCTAATTTTTTGATATAAATTCGATTGATTTGGACTGTATTATTGTTTATGCTTTAATAATTAAAAACATTTTTAAATCTATAAAGGTAATTAGAAAAATAATTGAAAAATAATCGCATTCGGTCGATAAAACAGATGATTGTAGAATCCCTTTAAGGGAATGCTGATATCAACAACTTTTTTAATTTCGAATTAAATATATCAGTAACAGGTCATATCTATAATTTATTTCTTACATTATCGTTCTGTCACATAAACGCATCTGTTCTTATATAGATAACATATTACAGCGCTATTTCTTATAAGAACCCACAGAACATATACTATATATAAGATCCGACACCAATTGCTAAGCACAATTATTTCTCTTTATATCACTGAATTTTTTCTGAGTTATACATATGTAACTTGTAGTTGAATCTGAATGTTCTCTTGAAAATTTAATTTAAATAAAGTCAAAATTTTTAAAAGTAATTAATTTGGAAAATTTTAAAGCTGCACTTTAAAGTGTGGTTAATCCAAAATAACTTAAAGTCTTCAAGATATTTCAAATCTGACTTTAATATAATCTTTTAACAACCGAAGATTTTATTATTTTTCCATTGCATATGAAATGTTCAAAGTGCTCTTAAGTTTTAAAGTAAGGTTAATTTAACATAAAGTTTATCCGCAACACCGCCATTAGAAGGACGCGGCGGTGCTACATTTTCTCATATAAGTAAGTATTTCTCTATAAATAAGATCCATACAGGATAGAATAAAAGGCACAAGATGTTATGAGATTTTTTTATTCATATTCTAACAAAATAATATTTTGATGGCGAACTCCCTTAAATAAAGGGGGCTTGTCTTGAACATTTAAACAAATTTATGATTTAATAATTATAATCTTACAGGAAAACTTCAAAATTGTTAACATTATTTTTTATAATTTCTTAAATTTCTTTAGCTTCTTTTAGTTTTTTTTTATATAAAGTTACTTTAAATAAAAGTTCAAATATTTTCATTCGAAATATTTGCATTTCACTTTGCATTTCACTCAGATTAAATCGATATATAAGAGGTTTAATATGCACTAGTGCAAATATTTAGGCTTTTGAATTTAATTCTAACGATTTACAGATATGTTTATTTTTTTATTTTTCATCTAGCTTTGTCTTCATTTCTAGTGTATAACATGCATGAGCTTTCCACGAAGTAAATGTACGTTTCATTAATTGACATTGGTCGCTATGTTTTAGTAAAAAGAGATAAAGAAAGCTATAATTTCTTTATCTTTTTCTGTTTTGGGCACAAAATATATCAAAGTCAAATACATTGCTATGTGTGTCTTAATTATGAAAAAAAAAATTTCAATTTTGTGAAACTAATGCGAAGTAATTAGTGTGAAACAAAAAACTAAAGCAAACGAACCAGCATTCCCTTAACCTTAAGAGATGTTTTGGATTTTATTATTAGACATTTTTTTGCTTTATTTTATTTGATAAATAATTTTAAGAGGACCCTGAAGTTATCTTTTATCGACTAAACGCAATAATTTTTGTATAACAATTACTTCTTTCCTCTTTTACAGATTCGATGATCCTTCTCCAGGATTTAAGTATGCGCATTAATACTGTGTCTGTGAGGTGAAGTTTATCGAGAACAAAAAAAGTGTTTAAATTGAGATCTTTTTTATTATTTCTTAAATCAATATGACGTCAGAGATATTAATATCGTAACAACATTTGCTTTATATAAAAACTTTGCAATCTGTATTTACGAAATTGTAGTCCATAGAGTAGTGGGTTAAACGAACAAACACATGGTTAGACGTCTAATTAAACCGTTATTATTCTACGAAAATGTATGTATATGTGTGCGTGAGGTATAAATGTAATAGTATATAAAGATACAGATATATCAATGTATCGCGTTTTATCCATAAAACAGCGATCTTGTGGGAGTTTGAACTCTTCACTTTAAAATCCTCTTAAATCCCTCAGAATTTCGAAAAACCTAATAATATAGAATTTAAAAAATGATGTTAATCATACATAATAAAAGCAACATTTTGCCGCCAAATTCATTTCTGTATGACTCCCAAATCAAGTAAAAAATTCTATACTAGGATTACTTTTGAACTCCGAATTTTTGTAACTTTTGGTGGCTGTTTACACGATTTATGCCGAAGTTATAACATCGATGTTATAAAACTGGCTAATCATAGCTATTTCTCTGTGATTGGCTACTTTCATAACATCGATGTTATAACTTCGGCGTTAATCGAGCCGTGTAAACGTAATCAATAAGAGCATTGTAACAACTTATAGTTTGCGCAAATATCTTTAGTCTAACTAGACCTTTAAAATAAAATACAATTCAACTCCTTTTTCCAGTTTCTCAAAATAACTCGAACGTTCCCTATTCTTCCTTGATATCAATGTTACGCTGTATTTTTCTAAAATCGTTTTAAGAAAAAATAAAATTTCGGAATTGTCTTATGCAGAAAGAGAATGTAGAAGGTTTAGTATTCATATTAAGCTGTAAAATGATTCAATCAATATTATTTTTTATTCATTTATATTCAAAACATGGTCAAAAAATTTTTGTAATTAATAGCGAATTTGGTTGGACGCACTATTGCATTTTGAGACCGTTGTACATTGATTTAATCCGACAATGATTGTAAATGTGAAATGCAAATATTTTTAATTATAAAATACATACTTTACCTAACAATACCATAAAGTATGTCGAAGATTTCACGATTTAACCTATTTCTATATTTATATTAAATACGTATTTTTATGTCGATCTGTATACGACGGCTTTAATGTGCACCAGAGCATACTGAGTGAGTGTATCTGATCAAATTCGCCCTAACATTTAACATACTCTATTTTTTTTAATTGTATTTTTTTCTTTTGACATTTTTACATTTATCAATTTCGATAACAAAAATATAACAACAAATGCAACATGATATAATAGTTTTAGTAACACTGACAATGTTAGGACTTAAATAAATCCATTTATCTTATTTTAAATCTATCGACAGAAATTGTATATTTTTCTAATTATTTCCATTTTATCAACATTATATATAAAAAATTCTTATTTCCTTATTACAGATCGATATATAATCTAATATGAATAGAGAGAGAGAGAGAGAGAGAGAGAGAGAGAGAGAGAGGAAAGAGAAATCTTAAAAGAAATTTTTATATTATTAAATACAAATGAAAAGATACGGCTAATGGAGCATACGAAGCGATCTTATACGTTAACCGCATATTTATCTACTTTTAGGTAAATGTATAAATCGGTGTGATAGTAGCTTTAAGTGAATTATAGATAGCAAAAATAAAACGTTGGCTTTATTATTACTATTGTAATATTATAGTTAAAAATTATGATTGCTGTGGCTAACGCGACTATGATCATTAAAACTTTTATAATAGAATCAAGGAGTTTACAAAGATTATTATTATTATTGTGACTTGCATAATTATTTATGCATTTTTATTTACACCTCATAACTGTAAAAAATGGCAGCTTATATGATTATTTTTTATTCTGCATAAAATAAACTTTCATGTTAGAAAACAATTTTTGTTTATTACAATAAAATTAATTTGTTATATATTAAAAATTTATTTTAACGAAATAAAGCATAACAAATCCTTATCTATATATCATAAGAGCTAGATAAACAGCAAATAATTGCGGTGAAATTAATCAAACGTAACTAAAAATAAAAAAATTATATATGTAGAAAATTGATAGAGTAGAAAATGCATAGATATGTATGTGTCCTCGTTGTAAATATGAGTCAATCCGATGCAATAAATTCATCGATACCAATGAAGTATTATTTGTTTCTGTCATTGTTATTCTTTCTCAAATCTTTCCTAATTAATCAGATTTATTGTTAAGTACATGCAGAGCGTCTCACAATCACAGTACAATATTTTCATATCATATTCTAGAGATAAAGAACTCTAGAATAAAAAATCCTGATACAAAAAAATATTAAAGCTACAATGGTTTTTTGAATTATAATCAAAGAATATATTAAAGATATTAATATCGTATATCGAATCCGCGCGCTCAGATCTGTATCTCTACTTCTAGAATATGCTGTGAAAATATTGTACGATAGTTGTAAGGCATCTTGTATATTATTAATAGGTGTTAATTAACATAGGTATGGCTGAATTGAAAAACAAAGAATGTTATAATAATAAAAATTAAAATTATTTTATACCGAAGCACTAAATATTATACTAAAGGCATTCAATTAGTATTATGTTTGTACAATGTCCTTTAATAACATTTTCACTGTGACGAAAAATTATATTAATAATTTTATACGTATTTGCATAACAAATATCTTTACCGTAGATATAATTTTAATATTCATATTTGTAATTTTCCGATTATAAATACTCGAATCATTTATAATGGAACTATAGCAAATGATTATAAAATCGTATACTGATTTTGCAAAAAAAAAGACTCTCCCTTATGCAATATACGTAATAAGAGTGTATACACGCTAATCTCTCTAGTACATCATCCAGGAAATCTTTAATCGCTGCAGCGAGAACTGCCCATTAAGCATATCATCTACCTCGATAGCTCATCTTCTATAATCATGGAAGAATATATTAACGATATCGGAAGCGAGAAGTTCGACAAGGAAAAAGGAGAGACAAAGAGATGTCTATTATCAGAGATGATGTGATCCGTAGGGTTGGGAGTAGAATAGAGAAAAAAAAGAGGAAAAGAGAGATGGCTTGATTGAGATAGAACGAAACAGAGATTGAAAGTGCAACCAAGAATGATAGCGGTTGTGAAATAGTGGGAGACGTGTTGAAGATGGATGACTAAGGGGATGCAGAGCTCAAAAGGTGTCAAGAAAGGACAGAGAGAGGACAACGTGCTTCTCTCCTGATGTTTGCGCGAGATATCACACTGGCCCTCTGATGAATCTGCAGAATCTGTACTCTATCCATTAAATTCGAGCTCCCCGACTATCGGGGCCATCCTGTCTCTTATCAAATACTGTCGGTCGTTATGGGATCGGTGGTTCAATACAGAACACGTCGTTCAGGTTACGTATCAACGAGGAATACGGCGGTGTTTGTGATGTAACGGTTCACCAATGAATACTTTCGTGGTCAATACACGAACGCATCGTATCTTAATAATCTGGACTCATGATATTGCATGATAATGATGTGCTATCCTAATCACATCATTAATTCTATAGGATTGTCATTGAAAGAACTAATTACGAAAATGTGCAAAAGTTTAAATCGTTAAAATATTGTATAATATTGTAAAAAAAGTTATGAGAATTCAATCAATTTTAATTAATGCACATAATAATAATAATACGTACATTTTTGTACATGTACGTATCTCTCTCTCAAATCCTTGATATCTCTTGTTAGAGAAAAGCATGATGAGGTGACTTCTTATGTATAGTATGTAACAGAAGTAAGTGTACAAAATGTTTTTAATATTCGAATAGATTTTTCTAAAACATGAAAGTAAGTATCCTAGCAACAGTAACAGGTAACGTTAGAGCAATGACCTCCTCCCCCCCCCTGTTCTTTCATGTATTATTCAAGAATTTATTTTGTCTATTAACACTGTTACAGTTTTATTAAAACACGGTACTTACAGGAATTATAAAAATAAGTAATCACTTTGAGTTTTCGTTTTATAATATATTATTCCTGACATATATTTTTATATTATCTGAATTATATTATAAATTCATGGAATCTAACAATCATTTTGTTGATGTATGGAAATTGTATTGTTATATTATTAAAATATATTTTTTAATGTCTATTTGGCGTTAGTACTTTTTTTAAAATTAACACGAAAAAATGGCTGAAACGAAACATTTAATCAACAGGGAGAAAATTATTAAAATGAAAAATGAAAGAAGTGCATATTGAGAAATTGCTAGATTTTTTTAGCAAAATACCGATAGTCATTTTTAGTATAATTATTGATTATAGAAATATTATTATGAGAATATAATGGACAAACTTCAGTTGCATCAAAATCTGAACATCCAAAAGTCAATAATATTTGAACAGATAAGAAAATAGTAAACATTTTGTCATCAAATTCTTTTTTGTCTGCATCCGAAATACGTTCAAGATTGTTAAGTGAGGGATGAGGATTAGAATGTTCCATATACCACTCACCAATCCTTGATATCGTAACACTATTATATAAATAATGGAATATATTCAATAATTTTTTAAATTGTATTATATCTATTTCTGATGATCATTTCATTGTTATTGAAATACATATAAAGTTAATAAACGTCCTTTATAAATATATACAATAAATAAATTTTACATTTTTATAAGATACATAAATATAAAAATGTATAAAATTATATAAAGGTAATACATAAAGTAGTAAGCTTTTCATATATAACAGCAGGAAATCTCGGCTTTTTTAGTATACATATAAAAGAATCCTGATCGCGTAGTGGCATTTATACAAACAAGTATTTAGTGGCCTTTAATAGGAATTATCCTCATGGGAGAGGCACAATTACGAGAGGATTATTAACACCTGGAATCATTGTTGTGCTGGTTCTTGAGTTGTCGGCTTTTTGCTTCTATTACGAATCCCCTAAATAACAAACTTATATGGATACGTCTTTCCCATCGAAGTATAGATCGCAAAGTAACCGCATCGGTCGCCTTTTAAGTCGGCTTGCTCTACTATTCCGGTTTTGGAATTTTGCCCTATGAAGGAAGGAACTGCTCTGGAAAATTTGACACACCGTGAAATCGCTAAAAATCACCGTTACAACGTTTGAGAATCGCATTGAAATGTTTGTGTCGCTATTATATTTAAAGAAATATATACAAATATCATATAAAAAGAAATATCACAGAATTCCATTATTTTTATCACGTATTAATTTCGTTTGTCATTTAATTTATTAGAACATAATTAATGTATTAATGGACATCAGACAGTTGAATAATATTTGTTAATTACTAATTCATTTTTAAATTAAAAATGTTAAATCATTTTTATCAATTTATTTCCGCAATTTATTCTTGATTGTAATTAAATCTATAGATAAAAAACGATATGCATGTATAGTTTCTTTTTAACAGAGTTAAATTCCATGTACCGTATAGATCACAGAGCATTGAAATGAACTCAACGATTGTCGTAATTTCCACAAATCCGCCATAGATCTCTTCTCAATAAATATAATCTCGAGTGGAGTGCGTCCAAAATATATATCGAGCGAATTTTTGCGCGTATCAGCTCAGTCGAGCGAATATTCGCTCAAATCCCGTAGTGGAGTGGACGATTCTCGACGATCCGTGATACAATGACAATACGAAGTCCGCCATAATGCCAGACATCCGTACTGACACGCCGTAG